CCAGAGCAGTTGTTTTTTTTAAACCCATGACATAAAAATCTTCTCAAATTAAACCAGACAAAAAGTGTTACCCAAGTAACAGTTCATTTTTTCCCAAGAAAGACCAAAGCAGAGGTCTTTAAAATTAAGCACTTAAATCAAGTCAATCAACACAAGCTAAAACATCATCTTTTGGTTCTAATAAAAAAACACCTTCTAGGAAGTGCTGGATCATTTACATTCAAAGTAAGAGGCCAAAAAATCTATTTTATTCTTGATTTCCCCTCTAAACACTCCAAAACAGACTACATCAAAACAACTGAAGGAAAAGGTGAGGTGCTGAACTTGGTTCTTCCTTTACAAAGCTGTACTGTCAATACAGCTCGCTGTATTACATACCAAGACAGGACATCTTTAAGAGTCTCAAAGGAGCTGTGAAAACAGACCCTACACCACTCCCCTAACGCTGCATCTGAAGCACATATAGTGCAGTCCACCTGACTGACAATCAACAAATTTAAGATCCCTTCAAAGCTCTGTCACTCCACACCAGGGATGATAAATTTAACACTGAAGGGAACCCACACTTGCCTCTGCCTCTTGCCAAGAAGATCCAACACAAAGTAGGGCCAGTATCACAGGAAGTGGGGAGACGCAGGAAGCGGATGACAGGGCTGACAAGACGGCGTCAGAGTGAAGAAAGCCGAAGTCAAGACTGAGACGGCCCAGAAGACCACAGAGATTCCTGCTTCCAGAAAAAGGAAAGAAGGGATATTCCTGGTGCCCACGTACCTGAGACCACTGCAGGAAGGAGCGACTAGTTCCAGACATCTCAGGACATGTGCACAGTGGAGACGTACTCTCCACAGCCTGAGAATCACCCTAAGGTGTCCTGGCATAAGGTCTGATATTCAAGGTGCAGAGGGACACCTTCCACATAAAAGCCAAAAGCACTCTGCAGACCACCAGGAGGTCAGCGTGACCAAGCCTAGTGTGACACTAGTGATGAAGCCCTACACAACCCACAATGAGCTCCCCACAGAGGACAGGTGGGGGGTAGCTACTATTCTTGCCATGGTAGCCAAGGCCAATCCCTGCTTCTGGGGACCCAGCACAAACTTGCCCAATCAATCCATATGCTAGGTGGTTAAAGTCTATTTGCCAATGGACTTTTCAGAACTCTAAGTAATTCTAAAGAGGTAATGTTGTAAGTACTATCACTGCTATACAAGTTAACCCATGAAAGTCATTTTAACCCACAAGGTACTTATAACACCAACAGTACTTTCCTCAATAATGCTCTTTACTGTCTATGAAGGAGGTCCCTGACCTCCCTGACTGAGGGGCTGTTAAAGATGATGTTCAGAACCAGGAAAAGCCAGGCAAAGAAACACGTAGATTCTAATAACTTAGGCCCCGCCTATTTGCACAACTGAAACACCTCTGTGCATTTGCAGAGGAGAAAGTGCAGCTCTCCACCCATCACTTCCCAGTTATTCCAAATTAAAAAGCTCAAACACTTGGGAAGGGTATCCAGGGCATGAGTACTGCAAGTCGGGACCACTGAGCTGGCTTGCTGCTACCTGTCTACACCATGAGCTTAGGACCAGAGAACAGGTGAAGCAGTCACTAATTAGGGCCATGTTTACCCTTCCATTGTCAACTAAGAGCATACTGTTTTTGTTGCTTTAGAAGAAAGGTCTCCCTAGTTCATTACAGTCATCATTCCTGTGTAGTACAAGATAATACGCTCCAGTTTGGAAAGTTGGTGTGAACGGCACACTCCTACACCTCCTAGCAGGAACCCATCCACATTCAATACTTTCACAGACACAGAATGACAGCTCTCTGGAAGTCACAGGGTCTTAAATAAGCTGATAATTTATTGTCCTCCACAAGAGAACTGCAAACAAGATCTTAATTAATTTGCTAACAGTTATGGCCTGTTTACTAAAATTAGCCCAAATGCCATCATTTTGCTTACTACAGGAATTTGTATAAGGCACATTTCCTTGGACCCCATGCTAGGAGAATAGTACTAAAGAAAGTACAACTTGCCATTAAAGTAGCTGCACATCTACGGTGGCTCCAGAAGAGCTGTCCCTTGGGAAAGAGCTGGCCCCAGGGACAGTGATACAGAGCTGCCAAGGGACAGAGTGGGCATCAAGAGGGAGAAAGTTGAGGCTGTGACCATCCAGATGTCACGACTTGGTGCTCCATTTGTACAACAATGCCAGGAGAAACAGAGCCGGTGACAGTCGGATTGGAACCTTAAAGGTCACCTTATCCAATGGCCATTCACAGGTAGAGACACAGCCAAACACTCAGGGGCTCAGCTCTTCACCACGGGCAAGAGCACTCCTGCCTCACTTCCTTCACTGCCCACAAAAATGTCAGCACTGCCATACTTGGCAGCGGGGGTCCCCCAAGGGTCAAGTTCTGTGGTGCATAAGAGATGGGCAGGGGCGCCGGGGTGGCGCAGTCAATTGAGCATCTGACTTTGGCTCAGGTCATGATCTCACAGTTTATGGTTTCAAACCCCACATCAGGCTTTGTGCTGACAGCACAGAGCCTGCTTCAGATTATCTGTCTCCCTCTCTCTTTGCTCCTCCCTCACTTGCATTTTCTCTCTCTCTCAAAAATAAACATTAAAAAAAAGAAAGATAGGTAGGGGCACCTGGGTGGCTCAGTTGGTTAAGCATCTGGCTCTTGATCTTGGCTCAGGTCACAATCTCATGGTTTATGAGATCGAGTCCCACGTCTGGCTCTGCAGTGACAGCATAGAGCCTCCTTGGGATTCTCTCTCTCCCTCTCTCTCTCTCTGCCCCTCCCCCGTACACTCTCTCTCAAAATAAACAAACATTAAAAAGAAGAAGAGGAAAGAAGGGTAGGACTGAGAGTGAAGTAACAGAAGATGCAGATGTCCTGGGGCTCTTGCAGTCTGTGGGGCCCAGAACCATACAAACCCCCTACGGCTTAGCAGGGGGCTGTGTGCCAGTCTACGGAAGAATCAGCCATTCTGGAACTCAGAGCATTTTCTGAAAAAGTTAGGGAAAAGTTAAGTTTCTAGTGCAGCTAAAATTTAACCTATATTTATTTTTTTCAATAAACATTTAGAGCCCCAGGACATTTGCATCTACTGAGCATTTACTAAGCTCTAGCTGTCTGGGAATTTACATTCTAATGCGGGAACAACAGCAAAAAGGAAGAGACAAACACATGAGGTCCTTGACCTTGGGGGTGAGTGCTGTGCAAAGGAGAAAACAGAGCCCTGTGAGGGGTGATAAGGGAAGGTCCTCTGACAAGGGACAGCAACACAGACCAAAGAAGCAATGGAGCAGGGGCATGCCGGGGCTGCGAGGCAGGGAAGACTGGCACACGGCGGGACTTGAAAAAAGACTGGGGGGCGGGGGAGGGACCCACGGAGCAGAAAACAAAGGGACAGGACAAGGTTTAGGCGGGACCCTCTGGGCACAGAGGAGGCCCATCTCCAGCCTGGCAGCGGGAAGCCTCTGAACGGTGCCAAGCAGCGGACTGAGATGCTCCGGCTTTCACGTCAGGACCAGCACTGCGGGAAGGGGACCCAGTGAGAGTGGAAAGAACAGGCGGGCGGGGAGGCTGCAGGGATCCAGCTGCGAGCGAGGGCGCCGGAGCGAGGGCGCCTGAACGGAGCTGCTCGCTCATGAGAGGGAGAGAGAGCAGCTGGGAGTTACGACCATGGAGCTGTAATCAGCAGGACTTCTGATGAACTGGACGCAGGAGGAAACAGGAGCGGCTGCCCTGTGTGCAGAAAGGGGTAATCACACTAAAACACGGCACTAATTCACACACCACTCTGTCTCTGCCGACACTGTATCTCCACCTACTAGTCGAGGGGCCCTGAGTGCTGTGCAAAGTTAACTTCGCCTCTCTGTGCTTCAGCATCTGACGCTACCAGTCAGGGAGAACACCTCTCGGCTTTACTGAAAATCCATGGAGTTAGCACCTAAAACGCATTTAACCAGTGCCTGGTGCACAGGAGGAGCTAAACAATTCTATTCTCATTACTACCTCATCCCCTACCTCATGGTAATGCTGTTAGGACCAAATAGACTAAGTGAGTTTAAGGAAGTGCCTGGCACATGGCACATAATACTCTCAATTACGTTGATCCTAATTGCTATCATCATGAATGATTCCCAGTTGGAGGCAATAACGGAGGTGAAGAGCAGACTGGAGAGGGGGCTGCTGTGAAAAGGTCCAAAGGGCCTACCTATGGAAGAGGTTCCATTTGGTATGTTAATTCTGCTGTGTCCACAAGACATTCAGATGTCTAAGTCAAGTATGTTGCTGGACATGAATCTGAAACCTCAGAGGAAAAGTCTGGAGTTGAGATATTAACTTAAGAGCCATTCACATAAAAATGAGTTAACTACAGAAAATGGTGAGCTTGGTGACAAAGAAGATTAAGGTGGAGGAGAGAAGATGGTCTAGTGATGAACCCAATGGAACCCAACCAAGGAGGAGGAGGCCGAAGAGGAAATGGACAAAGAACAGTGACGAGAAGGAGCAAAGCCGACAGACCCTGGGGTCCTAACAGCTCTACTTTCTGAAAGGTCAAGTTGGATGAACACACTGGAAGGAGCCACATGGACGTTATCAGTGATCTTGATGAGAGCATTTTTAGCATCTTACATATTCATTTCAACTCTACCTAACTTCCATTTACAACACCATAAAAGAACATGAGTCTCAAGGATGATGGGCAGTGGGGAAAACTCTGACCTCAGAGCCAGGAGACCAAAGTCTAAGCTTCGAGTCTAAGGGTCTTCGGTAAGTCCCTCAACAAAAAGGGTGTCCATTCCTCCACGGGTAAAATGACAAAATTGGACCAGATTCCTGAACACAGGTCACAGGCTCCCTATGTGTCTAAAACCTGCTAACCAAGTCCATAGCTATTTTTCAGTATTTAAAATGTACTGATCATTCCTTAGCTGTTTGGCTACGATCAAGTGTAAAATGTGCTAAGAACCATGCATTCGGTGCTCACTTCAGCAGCACATACACTAAAATGTGACAATACAAGGAAGATTAGCATGTCCCCTTCGCAAGGATGACATGCAAATTCATGAAGCATTCCATATTAAGAAAAGAAAAAAAAAAAGAACTACACATCCACCTCAGGTAAAGCTCCACAAATAAAACTGTCACATTTGTTTCCAGCTCAAATTAAAACCGAGCGCAGCAACACCTGCAAAGCTAGGACACAGCCATGGTTAAGAAGGGAGACTTGGGAATCTGAGTGCCTGACTTCAAATCCCAGCTCCATCACTTGCTGCCTGATGACAGCTGTGCTGTTCAGCTGCTCAAAGCCTTAGTTTCCCACTCTGTGAAGTGGGGGCTGTAACACTGCCTACCTCACAACTTAGTAGAAGGTTTTAAATGCATTCACTAGTCCTTGAAAGAACTCAGTGGAACTCTCCGTTGGCCTTCCTCCTCCCTCCTGACTGCTCCTTGTCCACCTCCTCTGCTGGCTCCCACACCCTGGCCTGACCTGGGGCGCCGGGGCTCCGCCGCAGGGCGCTCCACCAGACCCTCTTCTTCTCCATCTCCGTCCTCTCCCTCACTAGGCTCATGTGAGGCATACAATTATATCCTGAACAATCAGGAGCTATAAATGCCATTATCTTATACTAAACTAAAGATCTCTCTCTCTCTGAAAATAAATAAGCTTTAAAAAAAAAAAAAAAAGAATTTATTGAAAAAAAATTATATTGACAATATTCAAATAATGACATGGAAGCAATCCAGTGTCTATCAACAGATGAACAGATAAGCAAAATGTGTACACACGTACACACACACACACACACCCAGGAATATTATTCAACCTTAAAAAGGAATGAAATTCTGAACCATGCTACAACAGAGATAAACCTTAGAAAGCACGGTGTTAAGTGAAATAAGCCAGTCACAAGAAGACAAACACTGTATAATTCCACTTAACTGAGCTACTTAGTGTAGTCAAAAAATCACAGGGACAGAAAGAATGGTGGCTGACAGAGGATTGAGGGATGGTGGTAACTGTTTAATGAGTACAGAGTTTTAGTTTTACAAAATGAAAACCGTTGTGACGATGGAGGGAGAGTGGTGATGGCTGCACGACCTTATGGATGTATTTAATACCACTTAGAAATTATTAAGATGGTAAATTCCATGTTATGTACATTTTATACTAGAAAAGTTTTTTTAATATCTAAATAATAAAGACTTTATAATAATCTAGGGCAAAATTAAAGCAGGGTTCTACAGATAGAGTAGAAGGCTCAGATCTGGGTAGAAATTTCAAGGGTGAATAAATGAAATTATACTGCTAGTGTCTAGGTAAGGAAAGGTCTTAATGCTACAGATTAAAGTATTCAATAGATATGAATGCTCTATATTTGACACTCGCTATCTAACTTCATAATTATTAGCCTTTTCATAAACCCATATTTTTTTTTTCTACCTTTATCTCTCTACATATAAACAAGATAATGGGCTTTAGGAACAAAGAATAAAGAAGCAAACCCTTCAAGACCATGATGGCCATGTGGTGGCATCAGTCAGGCACCAGGGTGTACCAGCTGCGTCACACTCCTGAGCTGGGTGACCTTTTGTGCCTCAAGTTTCTAATGAAGTAGGGTTGTCGGGAGGATTGAATAAACACATGAAAAGTTCCTTGAATACCTGCCTGCCACATAGTTATACTTACTCAATAAAGGTTAGACATTACTGTTGTGATTTTATTTATATTCTACCCATTAAACAATTTTTAAAATCTGGAATAAAGTAAATTATTAAAAGAACATGTAAAAACAATGATCATTCACTCCAATTCAACTTAAAAATTAAAATGGAACAAAGAATTACTGGGCGGGGGGCACGTAGGTAAACTTATTTCTAATCAAAATTCAATCTACCAAAATCTCTGACAATTCCTGCAGAAGGGCCTTGGGGTGGTGAACTCGTAGAGACAGGAGGCGGGGAACAAGCACTGATGGCTTCTACACTACTGAAGACACACTTTACATATTCCATCTACATCTCACATCTATAGCCTCCCTGTGAGACAGTAAAATCCCCATTTTACAAATGATTAAACCTAGGCTCAAAAAGTTTAAGTTAAGTTAAGTTAGCTAAGTTAAGAAAAATTCACCAGGCTGGTAGTGACAGAGCTAGGATTTGATATTGGACTCCAAGCCCATACTTTTCCTACCTAACTGTGTTGCAAGGTTTAACACCAGTAACTTCCATCCTATACCCATGTTGCTTTGGAATAGGGAGGGAAAGCTGTATATAATTACTTGATGAGAACAAAACAATACATGAAGTAAGGGCAACTCTGACTGTTCTCATAGAGTCTAGAATTTCTAGAGGAAATGACAAATGACCAAATCCAAATTTCATGTTAAAATGACAGAACCACCGATTAGGAAAAACCTTCCCAATACTCTGGTCACTCAACACTGGTGAGGATGTGGATAATGCACACACTCCAATTCTAGCCCATCCTTCCAGAAAGCAATTTGGCAGTAGGTAGAAAGTTAAGTAAAGCCAACAGTGCTAAAGGCAGTCTGGCTAAGATGAGTAAGCCAAAGATGTCCACCAATAGTGTTACTCAACATCATTCTAGATATTCCAGGAAGTGCATTTTGACAGGCAAAAAGAAAGAAGTCACATAAAAATGGAAAGAGCCAAAATCATCCTTAGTTGTAAATACTTTTCCATCTGAAAATCCCAACAGAACTGAATAAAATTAGTACTATTAAGAGAGTTCAGTAAAATGAGAAAAAATAATGCATAAGAATAAATTACACAAAAAACAATCTGCAGAAAACAGACTGCTACCACGATGGGCCACTGAGGAGTTTCTAAAAGACATGGAGCAGATGGGACTAGACTGATAGAAAAGGACCAAAGAGCCTTAGTTCAGCCAGGCAAAGGCAAACACACCGCTCTCCATGGAAGGGCTTTAGACCACGGTGTCCGCAGTGGGGCCAGTGAGGGACGCGGGACTCTGGCCTGGCCGGCCTGCCTGCCCCACATCCACTGGCCAGGGGACAGCACTCGGATGAGCGCTGGACCGCCGCTGCCACGCGCTGGCCGGCAAAGGAGCGAGAGTCTCCACAGATCCGTGCACAGAGGCCTAGCACAAGGGCAGCAGGAGCAGACATGGGGAACTTGAACTCAAGAGCCCTCTTCTGGCCTCTCAGGGCCTGCCCTCCCCTGTCTGACAAGGGTCTAAAATGCAGGGAAGCCTGCCCTTCCCTCTGCAGGAAGCCAGGCTTATCATTTAGCTGCTCTGGTTTTCTAACGGTGTGACATGTTGGCCTGCCAACCTAGATGCAAGACTGAGGGTACGACTCCCATCTCTCACTGCGCCTCTCCGGTCAGACACGCCCGTGACTGACAACAATGAAAACAGGAAGAGATACCATTTTTCCCCCAGCATGACCACTAGGTCTTGTAATGGTTATAGTTTCAGAATTGTACATGTATTATTCTTGTAGACTGGTATGATATTTCAATCAGCCCACAGACTCTTTGTGAATACTGCCTTAAATTCAGTACAACTACCGAAACACCAGTCATTTCTGACATCTGTAAACCACTGCATTATGCCCTCACTGAGGCAACACTGCTGAGGTAAGAATTCTTTAGATGGTCCTTCCTCACTAAACTAAGGCATATTTATGTAAAATGCAGAGTAATGCATTTTATTTAGCATATATGTAACTTCTCTTCATTTAAAAGTTGGCCTAAACTCAAACTGAGTAAAGAGCAAACAAAACTGAGCATGAGTGTTTGTATAATCCATTCAAAAGAAACAACCCACAAGGATCAAAATGTAGGATATTGACCACATCTTACTTTAAAATAGTCCCAAATTAGAAGCAATCCAAATACCTTATAAAAGTCAAGCACTGAAGTATAATTTATATGCTTGATGGAATATTACAGTCTTCAAAAAAGGTAATTACCCAAGTGTTCATCAACAGATGAACAAAGTGTGGTTATATACACACAATGGAATATTATTCAGCCTTAAAAAGGAAGGAAATTCTGACATATGCTACATGGATGAACCTTGAAGACATACCAACTGAAATAAGCCAGTCACAAAAAAGAACATATAATGTGTTATTTCACTTATATGAGGTATCCAGAGTAGTCAAACTTACACAGACAGAAAGTGGAGGGTGGCTGTGGGAGCCAGAGTGGGAGGGATGTGGAATTCTTGCTTACTGGGTTCAGAGCTTCAGCTCAGCAAGACAAAACGTTCTGGGAGATGATGGTGGTGGTGGTGGCAGTGGCTGCAAAACAATGTGAATGTCCTTAATGCCAATAAACTGCAACTTTAAAACAGTTAAAATGGTGGGGTATTCGGGTGGGTCAGTTGGTTAAGAAATCGACTCTTGATTTCAGCTCAGGTCATGATCTCATGGCTTATTAGTTCAAGCCCTGCATTGGGCTCCATGCTTTCAGGCCCAAGCCTGCTTAGAATCCTCACTCCTTCTCTCTCAGCCCCTCCCCCATTATACCTCTTCTCTTTCTCTTTCTCAAATTAAATAAACCCTTAAAAATTAAAAAAAAAAAATTAATCAAAATGGTAAATTCCATGTTATATACATTTTACCACAAAAAAACATAATTATGAAAAGCATACAGAAACATTAAAAATATTTATGCTATGTTCAATTTTAAAAAGCATATAAAGTATTCATAGTCTTGATTAAAACTATGAAAAAAATGTATATGAGAAAAGGACTCAAAAGAAAGCTCTGGTGAAGAGTCATCATAATGGTGGAGAGTGGGTGATTTTCCTCCATTTTACAAATATACTATAGTACTTCACTGCTGTTTATATAAACTTATAAAAACATAAAAAACTAGTATACTAGATATAACACCAAGAGAGCAAATCCACGGGGTCTGCAGCCACAAAGCTCCCTCATCTGTTACTCCTTTTTCCATTCATCCAATACTAAATTTGGGACCAAAAAAAATGGTTTTATAATACTTAATATTTGGGGGCTGAGTAATGACCTAAGAACTGGTAGGTAGCTCTGGGTGTACAGAGAGGATTTAATTTTCATTAAATAAACAGTTTCCCTTTTAACCTCATTTTAAAGTTTAAGAAGAAAGCCAGTATTTGCCTTACTTGAGCCAAAATTTCCTTCTTAGTCATTACTTTAAACCTACCTCAACTTTTTTTTTCTTTAAAGTTTCTTTATGATTTTGAGAGAGAGGGAGAGAATGTGCAAGCAGGGGAGGGGCACAGAGAGAGGGAGAAAGAGAATCCCAAGGAGGCTCTGCATTGTCAGCACAGAGCCCAACACGGGGCTCAAACCCACAAACCATGAGATCATGACCTGAGCCAAAACCAAGAGTCAGATGCTTAACCAACTGAGCCACTCAGGCACCCCAAGCTACCTCAACTCTTCTGTGGGAGAAGTCCAGGGTCTATATAAGTAAATTAAGTTCTCATCAAATAAAATTTCTCTTAAGCTGGACAGGCAAGGAAGTGAAATGGGAAAGAAACGGACCAGGAATCAGAAGACAGGAACTGGTTGGCTCTGCCGGTTACTGGCAGGGAGGCCTCGAGCGGCACGCAGCTTCTCCAACCTCAGTTGCCCATCTGTAAATGTGCAGACTATTTGCTCCACACTTTATCAAGAAATAAAAATCAAAAGTGATTGTTCACAAAAATACTCTAAAGAACGTAACATGCTTTGTAAACTAAAAGGTGATACCATGTCAAATTCACAGTATTAACTTGATCTTTTTCTGTGTTGCTGTATGGTATCATATGAAATTAGACCTTTCATATATGCTTTTCTGTTTTTACATTAGCACTTGCAACTTGTCATTTTGAAGGCACCGAGTCTTTCCAGTCCTCAGAGCTCTGCATTTTTGATGAGAGGTACAGCTCAAGGCTCTCTATTTAAGACCTGACATTTCAGGGGCATCCCCCATGGTTTGTGAAAAGAAACCCACAGAAGAAGAGAAAGGTCAGATGGGATACAGGGCTTCCCATGACCTACATGTACACTCCCAATTTTCATTCAACAGCAGGGCTCTCCCAGCACTATTTTAGAATACCACTTGGCTTTTAAATCCTTTAAAGCAGTAACAAGTGTTTCCTACCCTTTTGAAGGGAGGAAATTTAACAGAGTAAGAAGCATGTTAGAGCAGCCATCCAGAGGGTGTCTTCCATTGTAGCCATGTTTATTCAGATGCTAATCATGCCCTTCCTTCAACTCCAGTAATATGGCCTACTTCATATGACCTACATGTTCTGAGAGGGAAAACTGAGTTTTAATTTTAAATATACTCTAAGTCAAATGGGTAAAAAACCACTTTTACAACTGATGTGCAAATGAAGTAGATCCTGTACATTTGGAAAGATGACAAACTAACACATTTATAAATTCCTAAATTCTCAAATGGCACTAATTCGCAGAATTATGAGCTCTTTTCTTCACCTTGCAATCACTACGTGATCCTGTCAAATCTCCTTGGATTACTGCATACAGGTTCACATCCCACAACAGAGTATTCAATCCCACTACATTCACAGAGGGCTCTCAAATTCATATGGGGGATCTATGTGTGTAACCAAACAACTAAAAAAAGGAACAGTTACTTTTCATAACTCAGAAATCAGTGGAATGCATGATCTGCCAATGACCTGGAGACCTCAATGAGATATTAACAGCAAGGATGGACAATCTACTGCTACATCTTTTTTTTTAATTTACTTTATTTTATTCCTGTGTAGCTATATATAGTGTTACATTAGTTTCAGGTGTACAGTTAGGTGTACAAAATAGTGATTTAACACTTCCATACATCATTCTGATATATCTTCATTTAAGTGAATGTGATGCAAGTTAAGAGTGGATTTAAAAAAAAATTACAGAAGGATTTTTTTGATAGCAAACTCTCCCTGTGCCTTTAAAATATAATTTAAAATATTTTCTTTATATTCAAGTTTTCAGGAATATCTCCCACATCAAGCTACCCTGCTTAATTAGGCTCTGACCATAATTTCTCAGAGTCCAAACAATACTGATATGAAAACAGGCTATAAGGCATTTTACTAAAAAAGGATTTAATTTTAGAAAAAGTAATTTCAGAATCTGTTTAACAGGTTCATCCCCTCAACTTACAGGATTTAGTTGTTGGCAACAGTAGCATCTTTTTGATGGCAGTGTCTTTTGTTTTAGTTGACTTTATTGTTTTCTTTTGCTTTACATTTTAGTGCAAAGTTTAGGTGGTTTCACAGCCTGGGTCCTTTCATAATTGCTAACAATTATGAGGTATCTTGGACAGTTTTTGCAAATTATAGCAGGGAAATTCTTTCTGCTGAACTTCAATTCTCAAGTGCCCCGTATCCTCCCACAGTTTACCATGAGTGTCACCATTTTCTATGATCACTCAGTTCTTCCCAGGAAATTCTGGAACACATAGAAAACACTCTCTCTAGACACTTGGTTCATAATATGGAAAACATGAGTGTTGGAGGCCACGTCTGCCCCAAGGACTGAGGAATAGAGAATGCTGGTCTGTGACAGAAGAGAAGAACTAGAAGTAAGAGAAGATGACAAAGAGAAGGAAAGAGCTAACAGGACATTCAGGGAGTGTCCCAGTCTCTGGGTCCCATCCGAAACCCAGGTGTACCCCTGCCAATATTGCAGCACACAGCTCAGAAAGCTTCCACTAACTTCCCTTCTTCTGTGGAAGTTCAAGTTAGCTCATTTTTACTTGTAACCAAAAAAACCTCTAACTACTAGAGGGCTCTACAATCCCTTCTATTGACTGTTGTGAAAAAGGCCAAGATAGAAACCTACAGGTGGGTGTGCCTGGGTGGCTCAGTTGGTAAGCGATCGACTTCAGTTCAGGTCATGATTTCACGGTTCATGAGTTCAAGCCCCACTAACAGCACCAAGCCTGCTTCAGTTTCTGTCTCCTTTCCTCTCTGCTCGTGCTCATGCTTTTTTTTTCCTCAAAAATAAATAATCATTAAAAAAAAAAGAAAGAAAGAAACCTACAGGTGGCAGACTTGAACCCAGCAGGGTCCGTAGCCAGAAAGTGGCAGGTGCCACTCCGGACCTTACTTCTCTGGTAGGAGTTCAACAGGGTAACCCCGGCCACACACACCTTCACCAGGCCGCCACAGTTCAGCTCCTCTAGTTAACACAGCAAGTAATGGTACGTTACAGGAGAAGCGAGTTGTTTTCGGTTCCACACCCTTCCTCTAAGTATAAATCAGAAGACACAGAGCAGCTTTCAGAATACCACTGAAAACCACTGTGCCTGGAAGTAGAGCCTCCCAGGGCAGGAGCAGCAAACCAAACCCAGAGAAATGGGGGCACAGTGCCTCCATCCCACCTAGACAGCTCCCATATGGAAAGGAAGTATATTCCAGCTTAAAATCCAGAGGGATAGCACATTAGACAGAGTAAGCATGCTGATGATGTTTTATATATATCTGATGCATGCAAAAGCAGCATTCACTGTTTTTTAAGTACTTAGTGAAAATATCATGGTGGTCACACAACAGTATGAATATACTTAATGCCACTGAACTATACACTTTATGATTAAAATGATAAATTTTAACTATATCTTACCATAATTTAAAACAACAACAAAAAAACATGACACATTTAAAGAATCAGAGAGACAGGCTGAACCCCCTCAGTGGTAACCACCACATACAGTGTCACATGGGACAGTCATGTATGTAAGTAACGTGCTCCCTTGCCAGGGGCAAGTCAGCACAGAACTGAGACAGACCTGAACGGTCAGTCTGGGTCGGGAGGCAAAAAGAGCTGTGATTTTTCAGGGCGTGGAGGTGGGGGCTGTTGAACCCAAGCAGCCATCTCCTGAAATTAGTGATAATGAAAAATTGCTCAACACAGTCTTATTTTCCCCCACCTCCTAATACCTGATCAGCGTGGTCTTAACATTACTAATTCCTAAGTATTTCAACATAAACTCCTCAGAAGTCACTGCTGGTTTCCTATCAGCCACAAACAGATGGCAACCCAGAAGAGTCCTGTTCCCATTATGCCAACTTGGCGGGAGGCTCACCTGCCACTACCTGAAACATGGATCCCTCCCACTTGTACACAGAAGGCTCCCAAACACAACCAAAATCCTGCCCGGATGCCCACTGATCAGCATCCTTAAAAGCATGGGGGGGAAGTCTCATTACAACTCTACTAATTAATAAGCATAGGGA